CTCCAGCTCCTGCCTCCAGGTTCCTGCCCTGAGTTCCTACCTTGGGCTCCCAGATGAACTGTGACCCGGGATATGTAAGACAAGTAAAACCTTTCCTCCCCAAATTGGTATTGGTCAGAGTATTTTGTCACAGCAATGGAGAAACATACTAAAACAAGCTTCAAGGAATAATCTTTTAAAAAATTATTTATTTTATGTGTATGAATGTTTTGTCTACATGTATATAAGCGAATCTGTGTCACGCAATGCTTGCAGAGCTCAAAAGAGGGTGTCTGATGCCCTGGAACTGGAGTGGTGCATATTTTTTAACCACCATGTGGATGCTGGGTACTGAACCCCAGTCCTCTGCTAGGGCTGCCAGGGCCCTGAAACGCTGAGTCATCCCTCCAGCTCCAGCAATAATAGTTTGAAAAAAGATTATGTTAGGAATGTGGAAAAAGTGGACCTGTAGGTTCCTTGGAAACTAAAACTCTTTACTGTCAGACATAATGGAAATTGGAATGTTTGAAAAAAAAAAGTAAATCAATGTGAATTAGCGGGAACTTGACCTTCATGGTAACATTGGGAGAAGGCCATTTTGAATCCTTGTAGGTGGGTCAATTTTGAGGGAAATATCATTAATTTATTTTGTTAACTCCTTAGTCATGGTAACTGTGTAATATTTTTGGCATAAAACTGACCAGACTTTAAATCAGAAATTAGCAAGTTGTGAGGCATTTTAAGCTGAAGTACGTAAAGTCACCTCAAAACTAGATGTGAATAAAATACTTTGTATCGCATCCTTTTTTTGGTTTAAAATATTTTCTTTTATTTTCAATGTATGTTTTTTTTTTTTAATTTTGTGAGCTTTTCAAGTCAAGTTTGTGTATCCAGATGTCCCTCGGTGTGAGTTCATCCACTAGAGCCTGTTCAGCCTGTCTAGCACCACTCCTTTAAAGACTACCAACTCTCCCACACCCAGCAGTGAACATAGGCAAATGCATGTGATTGAAGAGGACATAGATGTCTGTCACATCCCTAGACAAATGTAATTTTTTGCTGTAGGGTAAATGGGGATTCTTATATTTACAGACAAGAATTCCAGTAACCACTCATCAAAGAAGTTTCTTTTGCAAAAGGCAGAGACTAGTATAGAGTTCCACAGCTGGTCACACACAGACAGTACATGTCAGTGAGATGCCCAACTCTAAGTGAAACATCTACAGTAGAACCTCTGTGCCTGTGGCTCACAGAAGACTGGAACGGGGGGTAGAGAGAATACTAATGCATCTCACAGCTCTCATCAGTGACGCTTCCTCATGCCATAGACGGAGATGAACACAGGCAGCCACAACTGGCC